GATTTTATCGAAAAAGTCGAGTCCTATAGGATGATTCTAGTAAAAAGTCGATATCTCAGCCAAATCGCAACTTGCACCTATATCCTCTTAGGATTTTTCTAGTCTATACATTCTCTACTTGTGGGCAAAATTTGAGCTCAAAAGCTTTTTAGCACCCGGAGAGGTTCCCTTGTTAGACACATTAGAATTAATATTATTCCATCAGGCAATGAATTGTTAGTACGTCATGATTGATAAGCAATTAAAATAAATATTTTTAAGATCTTATTTTTTACAATCGAGTTGGCTTTCATTCTGACTTATATTTCAATTAGATTTTTAATTAGCATCAATGATCAATCATTCAATTTCTCTACAAAATAAACGTATAAAACGTCGTCATTTTGTTTTACTTGCATTAATATTTCTTATCTCAATATCCAGTTTACTGACGATCTATATTTTATTTCCAAATATTGATCCGTATGTAGATAATTATAAAATTACAAAAAAAAAAAAAACTAAAAAAGAATCTAAATAAAATTGTTTTTTTTTTTAGTGAAGAAAAAAGTGCTTTTAAAATTCCGAAAACAATTGATGATGCAAAAATTCTTGGTAATGTCTTATATAAATTACAAAAAAAGAAATTTTTTTGTTTTTGCTTTTTTCTATTTTCAGTTTACAAACATTTGCTATTCCAGGTTCAATATTTTTAAGCATTTTAGCTGGATTTCTTTATCCATTTCCCATAGCACTATTTCTTGTTTGTTTATGTTCATCATTGGGTGCTAGTTTTTGTTATTTACTTTCGAAATTATTTGGTCGACGTATTTTATTAAAATATTTTCGAATGAAAATTATTGATTGGCAAAGAAAAGTAAAAAATATACTTATTAATTTAACTAATATAAAAGAAAATGTTCGTGTGTATGTGTGTGTTTTTTGTATATAGGTTCAAAAACATTCAGATAGTCTTTTATGGTTTATTATTTTTCTTCGTATAACACCTATTTTACCAAATTGGTTTATAAATCTTTGTTCACCTATTATTGATGTACCATTAAAACCATTTTTTTTTGGTACATTTGTTGGTGTTGCATTACCATCAATATTATTCATTCAAGCAGGTAAAACAATTCATCAATTATCATCACCATTGGATGTTTTTTTTTCTGGAGTTCAATATTGATTAGTTTCAATCGTTGATTAGTTTCAAAATTATCTCTAGACACGAAAGTCGAAACTAATTAGGCCATCTTGTAGAGAATGAAATTCTGTATCGAATGGTATGTCTCTCGAGTTTTTTGGAAAAATTTCTTGGTTAGAAAATCCCAAATACGATTTTTGAAAAGTTTAAAATCCGATTTTCAATACCAAAATCTAATTTTTGTACAAAGTAAATGTCAAATTCATAATCAGCATTAAAAATTGCATCTAGTAACTGATTCAGATCTAACCAACTCGAAAAAAATTTTTTCGAAATTTGATCAGCGAAGTGTCGCGTTACGTGGACAAGCCGATGCACGATATGAGATTATTTCGATTTCACCTGAAGGATCAAGAGGTCTAAAAGTATTGCAAGATTTATCCTTCGATAGATCGAAACCAGCAGCGAATTCAGAATGACTGTTAAGAGAGATAGATCATCACAGAGTAAAGTTCATTGGATAAGATTCGGACAGCTTCGAAAATTTTTCAATCCGACGAACTTTTATATCATATTCGGAATAGTATTAGCGTTTTTCTTCTAAGTCAATTTTCTTGTCTTTCTGAAATCAAACGATTTAAACTTGTTGAATCATCCATATGTGTTCATATACAAAATTTCAACCTTTAAAATAACAAACAAAAAGAAAGAATATCATTCATGAAAATCTACTGATCAACTTGATAAGTAGAAGCCTTGTTTTCGTATTCTTATGTGATAACAATTACTTTGATATTGACAAATAATTTAATAGGAAAACATAATTATTTTATGATCGTTTTTAATTATAAAATGAAATGAACGGCATCTATCAGATAAACTAAACCAAATATTAGCACCTATGATTTACAATCGTTTCTAACGATTCATTTGGATCTTTTTATCGATGGTAAAGTTTCATTTCTATAAGATGGAGATATATTAACTGTTAATTGAACAAGATCAACAACATCTCTTCCACATTGTTGAAGACATCTTGTGGAATCTCTATCATATTATTTCAGACGAAATAACTGAATAAAAAATCAGAAATGAATAAAACAAGCAAAACTATATTTATTCGAGATATGACTGATAGAAAAATATTTGATTTGATCTATAAAATGTAAAACAGTGCGTGTGGATTTATTTTCATGACATGAAATAGATAAAATAAACTATACACGTGGACATTCTTAATGTTCGAATAGAAGTAAATCAGCTTTTTTTTTCACTTATGTTAATAGTCGATGCGATATACCTCGCATCCTTTTCGCCTGTTCATCTCGCCTATCTATTTACGGCATATTTTGAGAAAATAAAGAAAATTCGAAGAGAAACGGTTGCTGACATAAATAAATGCATGTTTCTTAGCCAGAGAAAATAAAAGAGAGATGACATGCGTTTGTGTTTCTAG